AAAATATTTAGCCAAAAATTTTTGTGATAGTTCTTCTCAAGTTCTGATAGATCCAAGTGCTAATGAATTTAACCAAGCTTTAGATTTATCATTTAATAAAAAAGGAAAAAGTCAGGAAAAAGTCTAAGCCTAACAATAAAAAGGAAAAAGTCTAAGCCTAACAATATCATTAGACATTCCATCATATTTAAAAGTAGCACAAATTTCAAGAAAACTAGCAAGATGTAAGTTAGGATCTTCAGTAGTGATTACTCCAAACGGATTAATTTGTACCATTTGGATAATAGCAGGTTTAAGCTCAAATGAATTAGCAGCAATAACAGGATTTTAAATAATTAAGTGAAATTCATCTATTGTCGGATTAGCATAATCTTTTAAAGGTCTTTGTCGATTTCCATTTATTTGATTATCTAAGTTATTCGCCATTTCGTTCAAATTTTTTTTTTATTTTTTTTTTACTTTTTCTAATAGTACTTTCTAATTCCGAATCATAAGGTACTAAACTTTCAGATCCCATATTTCGCATAAACAAATATAATAAGCAAATAAAATATATTTTTGATTTTTTTATATTTTTAATTTGCCTAATTTACCAAATCTATTTAATTTATAGTTATCATCCCCGGCAACGGCGCAAAAAACTTGTTCCCGAGAAAATATAGTTGTGTAAAATTTATAAAGCTGACGCCGCTTTATAACGGTGCTAAAAACTTGATGCGATATTTTATGAATAATAACGTTAAGCACTTAATGTTGAGATTCTACGCAAGTATACGTATCGTTATTAAGTAATATAAGACTTTATATTTAAGTTCAAAATATCGATCCCATGAGGAAGGTTTAAATTTGAAATGATTAATTAACTAGAAAAATCACAAAAATACAACGAAGCTACTGTCACTAATTTTGAATGTTTTAAATACTATCAAAACTAAATTATTAACTATTAGCAAGATTTAAATGCAAAGTTTAAAAAAGTAATTACTAAACTATGTTTATGTGATGAAGTTTTCTAATATGAAAATGCATATTTCCCACTACAGTAAGTTTTTGGTGAAATTAGATGAAATAATTGGTTTAATTTGTATTGTGTCAAATAGGGAGCAATTTTAATTCTCTACCCTGATTCAATGTTAGAGAAAATTA